TGAAATCAGTTTCCTGTGACAGTTTTTGAAGTAAGTTCCTGTTCTGTGGAACTTAGACAGTACTCCCCCATGTAAATAACCACAAGCACACACAGACAGACACAGTATTCCACCTGTGTTTTTATTCAATGAACCATTCAATATTCTAATTTAAGTGAAAGGTTTTATCCAGAGATGTCATATGAAGAGCACATGACTCCTTTAATTGGGTGATTTTTGTGTGAGTCATTGCAGCAAATCTGCTTGTCATTATTAAAAGCTATTTCAAGTCTTACCCATCCCTGGTACCCAGAAGCATCTACATACTAAAAATGTATGATGTTGGGTCTATAATTATTCTTTTCAACCAATGGCTTGTACTTGTGGTCTGTGTTTATGTTTATGATTGCAATTATTGCTTATTTGTCAAAACTTGCTTTTTGGCCTATTTACACGTATTTGTTCTCTCTCTATTCCTGTAAATTCCACTTTGAACTACTTTTTCTTTTACTTTAGGTTCTTAACTTAATGAAAACAATATATGTGCACAATATGGTGTAGTGAGTGAGTACAATACAATGACTACCATAGTAACCAATGCTTTTCGTATTAGGGAACCGAAAATACATACACACACAAACTGTGTGTGTACTAATAATTTTCATGTCACAGGGACCCATCAACATTCCTGAAAATGTATGTGATTAAATGCAGTGATCTGGAATTAAATTTAACATGATATTTGATTTTCTTTGGAAGTACAAAACAGCAGAGCTGAAGCTGAAATTTTGTTTGTTTTGGAAACTATAAACACTGGCCACTATATTAGATACACTTTGCCTTTTGCCTTCAGAAGTGCTTCATGCAATATGCTCAACAAGGTGCTGGAAACATTCCTCAGAGATTTCGGTCCATCCTGACATGACGGCATCACACAGTCATCACACAGTTGCTGCATATCCATGCCAATCTCCCTTTTTGCACAACATCCTAAAGCCTCAATTTCCTGTCCTTAGCTGACCTAAGTGGCCTCTAGCATGGTCTTCTGTTTCAAGTTGTGCATTCAGAAATGTTCTTCTGCTTATCCTGGTTGTAATGAGTGGTGTTTTTACTTACTGTTGCTTTCCTAACAGCTTAAAGCAATCTGGCCATTCACCTCTGACCTGTGAGGCATTTTCGCAAACAGATCTGCTGCTATATTTTCTCCTTTTTTTCTGTCTTTCTTTTTTTTTGCCCATTATTTGTAAACCCTAGAGATGGTTGTGTGGGAAAATCCCAGTACATGAGCAGTTTCTGAAATACTCAGACTAGCCCATCTGGCATCAACACCATGTCGCATCCAAAGTCACTTAAATTACCTTTCTTCCCTATTCTGATGGTGTGTTTCAACTGCTGAAGTCCAGTCACTTCATTATTATACCTGCATGCCTAAACGCACTGACTTGCTGCAATATGGTCGACTGATTTCATTTTTGCATTAACAATTGAATAGGTGTACCTAATGAAGAGGCTCAATAGTGTACATGCTTATTTTGAATTTTAATTCAATAATGATGAAATTGACTGGTTATTTAACATCAAAATAACATAATTACAAGAGATCTCTTGGATGACACTGTGTTAAAAACAGACATGATTCTCTGATAGAAATCACTGCAGATGCTCTACACGAGCCCCCCTGAAAACCACTATCACTCTATCCAAGATGCTTTAATTTAATCATACTGTACACACTTCCCTACCAATAATGACACCATATACCCAGTTTAACGCCTTGTCTGATACAATCATGGCCCACAGTGACCAACTGTGTGAAACACAGAACAAGAAGTAGATGAAGAAGAAGAATGAATGTCATTGTCTTATTGGGAATCATTTGCTCATTTAATGGTAGCAGTTAATTCCTTCTCTTCCTGTCTTTTGTCATCATTACTCACTGGGAAGATGTTTGTGTGTGTGGGGAAGGAGCAGTTGAGAGATTCCCTGACATATGTTGTCTAGATCCCTCTTTTAGTTTCAGATTGCGTCTTAGTTTCATCATTTCTAAGCCAGAGCCATAAACATTGTGTGTTCATAGTAAATGACCATTTTAGTAGTGGAGGTGTTCCCTCTAAATATACTTTTGCTGCTGTCACTGTGACAAAGTAAGTGGCAAGATTCATGGGTAGTTGCTTTTATAATGATTTAACAATTTTCAAACTCAATAACATGGTTAAGTGTTGTTTCACAAGAAGTGTATATGGATCCTTATGTCCTCATATGTTATTTGTTTTTAATCACTTTATCTTCACAATCATTTGCAGTTACTGTAGGTAAACATTTTAAAATACATACATTCCTATTTTTTTTTTCAGTTTCTAAAGTCTATACTAAATAATGACCAAGATTATTGTTTGTTGTTTGTTATTTCCCAACTGACATGCACTAGTGGTCAACTTATGTTTCAGTACAGTTTAGAGGCCTGGAAACTTACATGAGGTGGGTAATTCATCACAAACACTAATTTTGCTTTTGTTTTTGGTATCAGATTGTGATACCAAAAACAAATGTCTGGTATCAGTTTACCATTTGGGTGTAGAATCAAGTCATAACCTGTATATAAAAGATGGAAGCGGCCTAGTCAGTTACTGGTTTGTGAATTCCCATTGGAAGTTTCAACTTTAGTGTTATTGCCTCCAGCATCTTGTTCTTTGGAGCCAGAAATAACCCTATTTAGATGACAGGGTGAAATGCTAAGTTATTAGCTAATACTAACAAGCTTGGTTAGCAAGCTGCATCCATAGACTGTCGAGGCATTCCTACAAATAAGTATGCACCAAAAACAAAACACAAAAAACCCCAGTGATATTATTTCTAAGATTATAATATTAAAAATAATCCAAAAGACACCAACAGTGTAAACATATGGAAGAAGAAGAACTCCAGTTAGCAGAACTGAACAGCCACACGCTCCAAACTTGTAGCTTTGGCATAGTTAAGGTCATGAGGCTCATTACTTTGATCTTAGGATAAAGTTGCTGTTTTTTAATTTGTTCTTTTGTTTTTGTTTTTTATTGCAAGTAACCTACATTAATACAGAAACCCAACAATCATATGACTCCCTATGAGCAAGTGCTTTGGCAACAGTGGAAAGGAAAAACTCAGTTTTAACAGGAAGAGAGAACAAAGACATTCTTTGGAAAAGAGTCATAGATTCTAATAATTAATAATTAAATGCAGAGTGGTTTATAAATAGATAGTGAGTGAAAAAGGTGAGTGAAGAAGAAATACTCAGTGCCTCATGGGAAGCCCCCAGCAATCTAGACTTATTGCGGCATAACTAAGGGAGGATTCAGTGTCACCTGATCCACCCCTAACCACATGCTTTGTCATAAAGGAAAGTTTTAAGCCTAATCTTAAAAGTAGAGAGGGTGACTGTCTCCAGTGATACTGTACTACGAGGTCTTCAACGGACGTTGTATGTGACAAGAACGATTTTAAATTCAATTCTGAATTTAACAAAGAGCTCGTGAAGAGAAGCTAGTATACTCTGCTCATAACAAACTACAGTAGTCTAGCCTTGAAGTAATAAATGCATGAACTAGTTTTTCAGTATCACTCTAACACAGGATGTTTCTAGTTTTAGAGATATTGTGCAAATGGAAGAAAGCAATCCTACATATTTGTTCAATATGCAGACTGAAGGAAATATCCTGGTCAAAATTACTCCAAGATTCCTCACAGTGTTGCTGGAGGCCAAAGTAATGCGATTTAAAGCATCTGGTTAGAAACCATATTTCTAAGATTTTTAAGGCCCGAGCACAATAACCTCAGTTTTATCTTAATTTAGAAGCCAAAAATTAGAGGCCATCCAGGTCTTTAAGATATTCAAGCAGTTTGACTAATTGGTATGTGTCGTCTGGCTTTAAGAATAGATAAAGCTGGGCTGAATAGAGGTGGAAATGTATGCTATCACTGCTAATAATACTGCCTAAGGAATGCATGTATAATACAAACAGAACTGGTCCTAGCAAAGAACCCTGTGGAGCTCTTAACCTTAGCGTGGGAATATTTGTTTTAAGTGAGCACAAGGGTTTTGGTAAACCACTTAACAAAGTTTACAGCAAACTGATTTAAAGCTTTAGTCACACAGGCAACCTGTCGGCAACCATCTAGTAACCACCAGTTGCTGGGGAAAAGTGTGGCCGTAACCAATTGATAAGTGGCTGCTGGAGGCTGGTAGAAGCTGTTTGCATGAAATTGGCTGCAAAGACATAAAACCTCCTTGTGATTGCTTTGATTCATAGCAGGTTGCTGCAGTTACTAATAGACCTTTTGCTTTCAAAGTAAAAGCTAAGTCTCACTACTGCAACCAAAGCATTTCAAAAGCTGCACCTTTTAAAATTTTACTATAGCTTGAAGAGTGACTAGCAAGTATTTGCAGACAAGTTAGTGTTTCCATGCAAACTTTGAATGAATCACAAGGTAGCTTTTTGGCACAGCACCCTCTGTGGAGCTGATTTCAACTGGTGACAGCCAGGAACCTCCAGCTAATCAACTGGTCAGGGAAACTCATTTTCAGGGAAACCATTGTTACAGTGTTCCAGACCAGTCTCTAGGCCTGTGTGAGTAGGGCTTGAGTTCATACTAGTTATAAACTGTGAGTAGTTTGGACTAAGTTTTTGTTCTCTACACTGGTAAGATTGCCTCTCTTTCTATTTTCTCCATTTTGACAAACTGTCACTGAAATAGTGCTCAAAAAAATGAAGGAAATTCAATAAGTGCTTAGATTGTGCGTACTTTAGCTTGCAATACCAACCATTCCTGGACTACCAAGCATAGGATAATAAAATGGAATCCCTGGTTTCATTACAGTGTGCTTTGAGAATATGCTGGCATCATTTTAACACATATATCATTATTTCATGTAATTTCCTTGATCTGAACAATAGTACTTTCTCTACAGGTCATTTTTGCAAAATAGAATAGTCCTTTTTAAACAACACATAAGTATGATTGTACACAAATGAATACAAATGTAGTTCAGTAAAAAAGGTTTTATTTGAAACACGGTCTACAAAAGGTTGAACTAAAGATCAATCATTTAAAAAGTCTGATAGTAAAACCTATCTTTCATTAAATGCCACTTTGCATCTAAAACTTTATGCAACTTTTATCAACTCAACACTTGATAAAAATTTGGTTGTTTATTCAGCTGGTTGTCAAACAAGAAAGAAACTCAAAAAGTACGAAAAAGATAGAATATCAAAAATAAAATTCAGTGTAGCAAACTAAATTGCTTTTATATATCAAACTGCTGCCATTTTGCAAAAAGACTTTGAATAGAAATCTTTATAGATACGAAAGATTTGTATCTATAAAGACTTGAGTTGTAGGAAATACAGTATTTGAACATGCATGAATATGCTACCTGTTCTCTTAAGTTGGATAATAAAAAAACATCTTACAAAAATGAATCAGACGTTAGGCAGAGTTATGCCCTGTATTTACACAAAAGTAAACATTACTTGTATAGAAAAATTTGTCGACTTTCTAATATGGAGCTTCAGCTTTAAAGTCTTATAGTCAAAGAAGAAATGTGCTCTTTCACGTTTGGCTCGCCAGCGTGTGTTAGAAAAGCAAAGAATGTTCTTCTTATGTTCTGTATTCAGTTTAGAGCAAGCTGAAGAGCTCTTGTCAGGTATTACTGCTCACATCTTAGGCAGTGATTGGCATGTTGTCCCTGTAAGTTGGCCTTTGAGGAGCACTGTAGCTGCACAGATCCTGGTAGATGCGAGCCATCTGGTCAGTGGCCGCATCATCAGACATCTCTAGGTTTGGGTTGTTGCAATAAGGCTGGGCACGACGCATGTTCATTGTCTCAAGCACGTGCTGGCAGTTCACTGAAGTGATCTGCCATGAGGAGAAAAAAAACCCCAAAAATTATGTTTTTAGTTTTTTCTCAGAATAAAGCCATAACTAGCTCTTGTTTAAAAACTATCAAGGCTCAAAAATAAAGTGATATTTCTAATGCTTTACTAGTCAGCACTCTGAGTGAAACATGTTATCATTTCACACGTCTTACCTGGACGATGATCAGTTTGTTTTTGGCACTGTTGTGATCATGCAACTCTTCTCCAAAACACAGAGTCACTGTTGGATCAGGAGCAGGAATCTGACCCTCCTGGTACAGCTGTAGAGCTGGAGCATATAAAACAAACGAACGGCTGTTTAGATAATCTTCGCAAATTACCAGTATCTAGTCTTACTTCCTTTAAGTGAAAGAAATAGAAAACAAAGCTGTATTTTTCTGTAAATCCAAAATATGGAACCAATATAGAGCCTCACCTTGAAGAAACCTTGCTGTATCAAAGATCTTGACAACAGCATCCCTGTCGAGTTTGCCAGGCATTGAGCCATATTGCGAGCCCACATCTCCCAATCCGCTCCAGAAGACACGGCTCTGGCACAGCCTTTTGATGTAGATGCCGTCTTGGTTTGCACGGACCAATACACCTCTCTCCAGGTGGCCCAGAAGCTTGCGCGTGACATAGCGCTGCCGTTCAAACTCAATGAGTTCAGCAGGGGGGAAATAAACACTCTGCATGCTGTCTGAACTGTAGAGGGCACCCCGACCCAGGGGATGTTGCGGAGAGATTCGGCATCCTTCAGGATGAGTCACCAGTGTGGAGTGCATCAGCTTTCCTCCATAGTAAAAACTGATCATCATTTGGCAGAGGGCTATAGAAGAAAACATTTGGTCAGATTCAGAAATGAAAACAAATACGTACAAATGTAACAAAAATATGGAAGCTGAAAGCTTGTTTACAAGTAGATGATATAAGGTCATGGATAACAATAAGCAAATACCTGAACTGAGACTGCTCGATGGCAAAGGTTCCTGATGCAGTGGGAAAGCTGTGAATTAGAGGAGGAAGAGGTGGGTTAAGGCCTTTTTTCAAGGCAGTGGACACAACCACAGTGTCATGTCTTTACTTTGCTGCGTCATCAGAAATGCCATTTCTCTATTACAATCTCACGAAGAAATAATCACAAGAGTCAGCAAAGTTTTACAGGATGTTAGTCAATTCTTCCATTGCAGAATTCAACAGTCAAGTAAATAACCTCCATTTAGCACCCACAAATGCAGAGACACTGAGTTTTCCGCTGAGTTTATTTTGTGAATAAATTCAAACTTATGTCTCTCAAAAGTGGTGTCACAACAACAGTGTGATATATGAAGGCTGAGACAAAAGACCCAGTGCTGTGAATAGCTTCATTTAATCTAGCTGTGTGTTGCATTGTAAACTGGGTACAAAGTATAATCTTACCATTGACACTGCCCTGGGACCAATATTCTGGACTGGCTTGGATGCTACAGCTTTCCTCCTGCAAAAGGACAATAATATAATAAGATGTTATCAAAAGCACCTTTGTACACTTTACAGCTGTGAAGAAGTGGGACGGTTTTCATGCTGAGTGTAACAAGTGTGAACCCCGTGAAGTGCGCGAAGTACTGCAGGAGACGGCACAGTGTGGTAAGGGGGAAAAAAAGTGACAAGAAAGCTAAGTGACAATAAAGGCTAAGTGCATCTAAATATATGTGGGAGGTGGGGTGGAATGAAAAAAAGACTTTAAAGTTAGACATCATCTCACCTCTTTAATGAGCTCTTCTAGCTCGGGGTTGCAGTCCATATCTGTGATCTCACCAGAGCTGGTGGTAGCTGTCACAGCCATCACTGAACTTTTGCCGTCTGTGGGTGAAAGAATAGTACACAATGAGTCGGTTCAAAGTACATATATACTCTTTTAATTATTCACTGCTATAGGAACTACAGTCTGTAATAAGTATTTTGCTCTCAGTTCTAATCACAAATGAAAAAGTGATTTTGCTAACTGCTAGAGATAACAGAGTGTATTGTGAGATATGCCGTGTACTGTGAGATAACACAAACTCACGTTTTTGCTCTTCTTCTGGAACAATGCGGTACACTTTATAAGGCTCAGAAATATCAAGCTGTGACCTCTCAGTCACCTCCTCGAAGTCAGGGCTTTTATTCAAGGCGCAGCGAAGTCTGGTCTTCCATGTTGCAGGCTCAGCCTTGTCCCCCTCCTTATACTTGCCTTTAAACACAGCCCAGGCCTTGAGGATACAAAGAAAAGTATATGATTGTACTGGATTAAACCGTAAGAATTTAAGAAGAGACATGTACATCATTTTTGTAAACTGTTCTTGAGAAAGAAAGAAAAAAGAATGAAAGAAAGAAAGAAAATCTAAGTTATATAGCTACACCACAATGCATTAAAATGCATCGACACTTCATAAGATAATAACTCTAAGGTAAAAATGCACAAAAAGGACAAAAAGAAAAAAAAGTGAAAAATTATTTTAATAGTCTAAATCACACAAAAGAATTAGCCTTACAGTAAGAGGAGAAGTGTTGGACAGCTTTAAGAATCACACCAGTTCTGGTTTTAGCCGCAAAAAAACAAAACAAAAAACAAAACAATCTTTAAATGGGGCAAAATGAGACAAACCTTAAAAATGGATGCGTCTATTTCTTGGTTGTAATCCTGTTTTCCTGCGTGTTTCCATGGAATTCGGAACATAGTGCGGCTTTCATCCTCCCACAGGAGTCCAGAATACTGCGCACTTTGGATCTGCTCAATCAGCCACTGCTTCAGTCGCCGACCTCCCGTGTTTGACATCTTGATGGTGGAAACTCTCTTTTTAGATGGCGCGCTTATATCTATATGTGGAAAATGTCGCGTAAAGTTCGTTAAATAGTATAAGTTAACTTTCTTTAAGATATTATGAAAATGTCTTATTCGAGCCGAAGTTTATAAAGCGCTATCGTCTTTTTTAAAAAGAGAGATTAAAATCAAAGGCACTTACAGATTGACAGGTAGATAAGCTCTTGGCACGGGGTTGTGATCTTGATAGAATGCGCACTGTCAGATTTAATCAAGTGAGCTCTCCGAAACGCATGCCTTTAAACTTTTTCGTGCCCCGTGTCATGAATGAATAAATCTGTGGTAGGATTTGACAACGCTGCCACACTCTGACCAATGACGAGTACTGACGCTTCAGTAAGACTGCCCATACCGGAAGACTTTTTCTTCTAACCGTGGGCATTTACAAGAAATGGCCTGACACAGACGATGGTTATAAAGTTACTGCCTACGCTAAAAGCTGCGTGGACGCGGCGCTATGAATAAACCCGTAAAGTCACAAGTTACCTTGTGCTTTGAGGGGATTTCTACTCTCCAGACCAAGGTACTATATCCCTTCTGCGCCCACTCATCCTCCGATGAGAAAGTTTAGAAGGTTGTGCAGGTAAAAGTGGTCAGCTGTCAGTGCGATGGTGAGGTGGACTGATTCCATGTGTCAGAGACACCTGGAAGATGTTACACCGTTACCGTTATTTAAAATGATCGTGATTATATGTGAAATATTAGGCTCAAAACGGGGAACCGCAGCGTATTATTAAAACAAAACATTAACTATTATTTTCCCAGTAAAAACATTTACTGTTATTCTCTGTCCATCATGAAATCCCTGTGACATCATTTAGGGACTAATGTGCCTGTTTATTACAGAAACTGACACTTACTGTCATATTTGAACTAAGATTTCAAACAGAAACATCAATCTGCTTCTCACTTTTATATGAACATAGGCTTATATGAATTTGTGTACACCAAAAATGTAGAATACAAAAAAATAAAGTAGTAAGCTAATTAAATACTCGATTCTTTATGCACATGTAGAGTGATTTAAATAATTTCATCATCTGATAAAAAACAAGACTTGGTAGATGTAGTTGGGATTCAGTTATGGTAAAATGGTAAATGGCCTGTATTTGTTTACTAGTCCTAAGGACCCCAAAGCGCTTTACACATCCAGTCATCCACCCATTCACACACTGGTGATGGCAAGCTACATTGTTGCCACAGCCACCCTGGGGTGCACTGACAGTTCAATTCATTATACATGTCCTAAGAGAAGACTTCCAGTTAGCATTTTAATATTTTGCTGAACTGTAAGGTTCTGGAAATCCTGCCAACAGTTAACCTGTCTGGACATGCCTATGTGATTACAAAAATCCCCCCACCCCACTTGGTGTGTACAGGAATATTAAGTAAATACACACTTTCAATGATATACTGCTGTTTAGAGGAGGAAACTGGAAGCAACCCCACCGGCCCAGCAGGAATAATTTCCAAGGAAAGACTTACGCTTCACTTCTTGGAAGGCTGGCTTCATAACGTAATCCTTATTTTAGACTGATATTTGTTTCACTATGTCAAACAATGAAAACCTTAAGGAAAAAAATGAAATTAATTTCATTATTTTAACCATTGTAACGTTTTATCCTCAAATATACATCTCAAGCTAAATCTGCTTTTTATGCTTTACTATAAAGACAAAGACACACCGTTATCTTCATAGGGTGGATTTATTAACAATTCCATTATTTCTCCATCACTGCATTTCATTATAAAACACAACAAACAAAACACCATAAATACACAATTAGGACAACAAACATTATCCACAAAACTATAAACAGAAATTCTTTAAAAATCTGTTTTGACACAGTAAAAAGATAACATCAGAGCTTCGGTAAAATCAGGAAGACTTTAACATTTGGACTACAGACATCCTGAATATGTAGTTATACTTTAAATTCAAATTCCCAAATTTAACCTGCTGTTAATAAACTTAAAGGAACATTTTGCCTTGTTTTCAATATATTTTTAGGTGTCACTCATAGTGGTTTATTTGTAATGTCCACAGTGCGGTCTCCGTGTGTCAACCTACTTAAAAAGGTTTGGCTCTTCTTTAATCCTGTGTGCCTGGTGAGGGATAACTTAGTACCAGTCCTCTCAGCCCTGCAATGAATGCAAAGAAGAAATAATTGCTGGGAACTGATAACAGTTTTCTTTTTAGCCTCACAATATTCTGCTAGTTTATATAAAGACTTGTTTTGTTGTTTTGGTGTGGATTTCTGATACTAGATTTTGTAACAAATATTGGTACAAGTGGTGTGTACACAGCTTGGAATTTTCTCTACGATGAACCAAATGAAAGTGAAAGTGCTAACTATACTGAAAGAGCAGTATCCAACTATGTCAACATGAATACTGTAAATTACATAGGCAGTGATAAACTCATTGTTTTGTGATCTTTGTAGGTGGCTAGTACAATGCTTATGATGTATGTTGCAGCTATTTATAGGTAGGATGAATGTAACAACAAACTTCATGCTGTCAAACCTACAAACACAAGAAGCAGTGCTGATATGCAAACTTGTACGTATCAAATCAACCATCAGTTTGGTTTTAGATTTAACTGAGATTTAACAGACTAGATATTTATATAACTATAGGCAAAATGTTCATTTAAGATGCCGTTAGTTGATTATGGCATTAAGGCTGCTGAGCTGAACATTGCAGGAGTCCATGTGGAAACAAAGGTCATCACTCATCATGGCTAAGGTGCTGAGGTGTTTAGAGTAAGGCGTCTGTGAGCACCAATACCCCTGTTTTGGTTGTAAGGGACTGTGGCGGGTACTGGTAGTGGTTATAGGTCTGTAGCACAATTCTAAATCAACCTCCATCTCTTCTTAAAAAAACAGACGCGAATAAAGTAAAAAGTGCTCGATATTATCTTATGCTTTTAGAGTTGTATGAATACATGTAGGTTAGATATGACTGAGGGTTGATTTGGAAATGAGTACAGAATAGTGGGTGCTGCCTATTTCCAGGCAGCAATGGGAACAAGTTTGGCATGACCAGACTTGTGTTTCAGCCGCTTCCTTCATCATCACCATCAGCATCAGCATTGGATCGCATGGATGGGTAGTCACTGACAGTTATCCAGCTGTGATCACCTCCCCTCTTCTGGCTCTGCTGTTGCTCTGTGTACTGGCTCAGCAGGGCACCCACCTGCTCCTGGTCATTGAATGGACTGGGACGGAAACTTGACCGTAACCATACTCTGTACTGAAGAAGAGAGGGGAAAGGAAAACAGTTAATTAAAATAACATTTTTTATGGTTAAGATCAAACTACATAATACAATTTTACATAACTCACTGCCATATATTTTATATACACGAAACAGGCAAATATTTCAAGCCTTATTTGTTTTATTTTTTTAATGACAATAATTCATAGCTTATAAAAATCAGAAATCCAGTATCTCAAATTAATAACATTTTTTCAAATTGAAAAAGAATTTACCATAAGAAATATCCAACTTCTGACAAGTACGTTCATTAATACACAATACTTTGAGCTCCTTTACCACTAAATACTGCATCAGTGGAGTGTGGCATCGAAGCAATTAGCTTGTGGCACTGCTGAGGTGTTACTGAACACTTCGGCAGTGCTGCAAGCACGGCTTTAGCCTGTCTTTATTTTTGGTTCAGGTGTTTCTTGTCTTCCTCATAGTTTATCAGTGGGGTTAAGGTCAGATGCAATAGAGAGTTGGCTGGCCAGTCAAGCATGGTAATTCCATGGTTACCAAACCATTTGGTAGCAGAGTCTTGATGCATGCTCAATCATCCATGATCATCTGGAGCATTCGTCACTTAGATGAGTGACAAAATGTTTCTCCCACTAAAAACACTACAACTAGATGAATAGAATCAACTTTCTGGCATTTGGCATGAGACACTGTGGGCAGGTGATGAGTTCTGCTGGAAAAGGAAACCAGCATCACCATAAAGCTTGTCAGCAGATGTGTGCATGGAGTACTCTAAAAATCTGGTAGACAGCTGCACTGACTTTGACTGGACTAAGCACAAAAAGCACCAAAAGAAAAAATGGCACCCCAAATCATCAGACTGTGGAAACGTCCCGCTGGACTTCCAACACCTTGGATTCAGTGCCTCTATGGTTTTTCTTCAGATTCTAGAACTTAAGTTCCCAAATAAACTTCTACTTTCACCTAAAAAGAGGATTTTGTCCCCCTGAGCAAAAGTCCAGTTCTTTTTCTCCTCAGCACATAAGTCTCCTTTGATACTGTCTCCGATTCAGGATATGACTGATATTATGAATGCGACAGTTGTAGCTCCTTTGCCAAAGACTGTGCTTTGTTGGCTCCTGATGCACTAACACCAGCCTCTGTCCACTCCTTGTGAAATTCACCCAATTTCTTGGCTCAACTTTACTCTCAAGGCTGTGGTCATCCCAGTTACTTTTCCTACCGCATTTTCCCCCCCTCAGTCAGCTTACCATTAATATGCTTTCATGTAACACTCTGGGAACAGCAAGTTTTTTTTAACCAATGATTTCCTGTGGCTTGCCCTCCTTGGGGAGGGCGTTGATGATCATCTGGACAACTGTCAACTCAGCAGTCTTTCCCATGATTGTGGTTGCATGTATTGAACTAGACTGAGACATGCACAATATTTACACTGACTGAATAGTAATCTTCAGATTTTCATGAGCTAAAATCCATATCAACACAATTAAAACAAAAAAATTGCAATGTTTCACCATGTAATGAATTCAGGACATAATTTTAAAATGTAAAGTGTACTAAGTTATTTGAAATTTAAAAAAAAACAACAAACTTTTACAATATTAGTTTTTTTTTTTAGATTTGCTAGTATAGTGACTTTTTATTATAACTGTATTCATACTGTAAGTTACAATAACAAATATACAACATAAATTGTCCTCCCTAAAATTCACAGATCTCCTTGAAACATAGTTGCCTCATACCACATTTACAGTGTCTTCAAACAGTACATTAGTCTGCTTAACATTGAGAAACAGGTGGATTATAAGCTATAAATACATATCCACCCAAGTTTCATTAGAGAACATGTCAAAAGTATAGTTTGAGTATTCATACCGAAAAGCTAAATTTACAGAAAGTAGCGCAATTAAAATGGTGACACACTTGTTTAGTTTTTTTCATGGAAAATGCAACTCTCTTGTTCCTCTTTTTCTAAACCTATATGCAATTTGTGCAGCTTTGTGATCATATA